CTGGTTCCGAGATTTTGCAGTCAAGACGAAAGCGTATGCTGCTATTGCTAGCACCGATACTGCTGCTCAAAACAAGTTCAAGGATGATATCTTTGAAGCCGTTCTTGCAACAGGATTTCTATGCAACTGCGATTGAACAAGAACAGCTCCTCTGATGCTGGATCTTCTGACAAACTATTGCAGAGAAGTGGATTATTATCCAAAGACAGTCAGCAAAGCACAAGATATGTTGAAAATTCAAATGGAAGTGAGTAAAAATCCGGGAGTGAACCTCTACCAAGGAAAAGACCAACCTAATAAAGGTAGAGGTAAAGGAGAAGGAAAGGGGAAACCAAAGGATGGAAAGAAGGCGGCATGTTGTGTATGTGGCAACAAAGACCATATGTCTCCAAAATGCCCAGACAGACTGCTGCCAAAGACCCAATGGAAGAATCAGGATCAATATGTTGACTATGGGAAGAAGCTCAATCTTAATCAGATTGGAGCAACTGTCCCAGCTACTGTTCTAGCTATAGTTCCTGGAGCATCAGCGTCCACAAGTGGAGCATCAAGTGTTGCGGGAAGCGTTAACACACCTTTGCAACTTGCTGGTACTACAGGTAATCAAATGATGCAAGTTCCTTCTGGAATGCCGCTCATGCAGATTCCAACTCAAGGTGGGGGCACTGTTACTGTCCCTTACTCTATGAATGCTAACGGTGAGATTCCATGACTATGCCATTGCAAGGTGAGAAGTTTTGCAAGTTCAGGGATCTGATTCTTGGTCCACAGGACTAGGTCAGACAAGTATGTTTATGTTCAAAATGAAAATACCAAACAAAAATAAACAGTGAATGAGAGCATGTCCCATTGCTGCCAATGGTGATTGTCACAATTGCAGGAGTGTGTTGGGATATGACGAAATATGAGTTTTTACGTTCCAAAAAGAAACTATTCAAGTACAATTTTTTTGACACGTACGATCAAACTTTGGTCGTGATGTCGGGATTCGACGCAAGTATGCCGGACGCAAGTCTCTTGGACAATCTACATCCACACAAAAAGGGAATGACCCTATACAAGTGAGATATCGATGTTGTGAACAATGCAGTAGGGAATAATACAAGATGTCCCAAAGTACTGCATCCAACACAGAATTGTTGTGGAGGTTGAATCAAGTTCTGTAAACAAGGGATTTTCCAAGGGAAAATTGTTGAACTTACTTTTGTGATTGAATCATCATTTCAAGCCAAATATTAATCGAATAGGAACAATTTCACTCAAAGTATACCTACAGACAATTACCTGAACAACACACGGATTTGGTTCAATAGTTCTCCGTTGCGGTTGATTTGATTGGTCCATGGAAAATTGACAACAACGGTAGAGAACTTGAATTCAATGTGTTGACTTGTATTGATCCCATGACAAATCTCTCTGAACTTGCTTTTATCGAGAATAAAACTGCAACACATGTAGCAAGCGTGTTCAAAATGCTGTGGTTGTTGCGATATCCAAGACCATACAAATGTATTCACAATCAAGGAAGTGAATTCATTGGCAAAGCCTTCCATGCAATACTGGCTACTTGGGGAATCCATGATGGCGGAACCGATAGCAAGAATGCGACCGCAAATGCGATCTGTGAAAGAATGCATTTGACAGTGGCAAACATTTTGTGCACCAGATACAACAATGCTTTCAAGTTGCTGTTGAAGAAGTCAAGCAAGCTCTTGCTGCTTGTAACCATGCAATGAGATGTGCTGTATCGACAGCTTTGATGAACAATACTCCTGGTGAGACATGCTACTAAACATTCCTGTATTTGTCCACCTATTTTCTATGCAGAAAAAGTGACAGTACAAGATCAATGAAAACTTGAGGAGACAGAACGCGAAGCAAAAAGAATTTGTTTACAGAATTGATGGAGAAGTTTTGATCAAGAATACTGATGGAAGAAAGTTGGATCCGAAGTACAGAGTGTTGGAATTGCTCTCTTGGAGACCATTGGAAACTCCTTGATCAAAGCAGCTCGACACATCTGATCGGACAGACGGACAAATGTCCGTTTGATCCGTTTATTTGGGGGATTCCTATGAGTCGGTTTTTGCAGGGAATCCGAAAACATGGAATTGTGCACTTGGACCATCAAAACTTCTGAGCACCACAAAAATCCCATACTGAATCCTGCAGGAGTTCTGTACATGGGTTTTGTACCGGCCTTTCTGGATTGCAAACATCCAGTAAAGGTTTGGGAAATTTGAGTTTTCATGCAAGGCTTTTGCTGTGCCCATTCCATGTAGATAACAAGTCTTTTAGAATAGTTATTTCCTGTAGAGATGATTATTTCATATTAGACGGATCGGAGATCGCTATGGTTAGTGCCTCTGCATGACGACTTGATGGGTCGCATGTTGGCACGGCTGGTTGGCAATGATGGCTTAATGGGCCACAAAGTTGTCAATTGGTTTGGACGACGACAATCCTGTCGCTTGTCTGATGTCTGCCAGAACCGAAATCCAACTCAGAGGTCTGTATCCCATTACAAATGTTTACACTAATGGTACAGTGGAAATTCAGCGCACAGATGCGATCCGTGAGAGGATCAACATCAGACGGCTTGTGCCGTTCCGTCGAGTCTAATGGACCATATGCTTGCATCGCCCATTGCGTCAAGAACCACCTCTGAAGTTGAATGGAGGATCAAGTGGATGTAAGGACGCCTTGTGACTTTGGTGTATGATCAATGGACTGGCTCTTATCATAGAAGGGAAGAGTGTAATGACCTTGGAGTGACCTTGGAACTAGATTAGACCCTTTGGAGGAACAGACATAGCTTTAGGCCTAACTCTCACTTCACTCCTTTCTGTGGCTTTCTGAGAGACTCTATAACTTTTGTTGTGACTCATTCTTATCCCTTCTTCTAGGCTGGTTCATTTTCCACCACTCTTTGCTCTAACCCAACGTTTACAGAAGAGTTTTAAAGAGAGAATTATCAATGTTGTAGAAAGTGCTTATGTGGAACGTAACATCTACAAGTAGTTTTGGGTTTCAACGAAATTCCACTTTTGGCTTTTGCTGTCATTTGCCTTATTACGGCGAAGGGCATTTAATCACTGTAGTGTCATTATTACGATGGCAACCATGTTGACGGCATAACCATTTTTTCTTGTCCCGGCTCATAGTATACATTGAGCCAACTCTTTCTACAACCTGCACTGGTGGTAAATGGGTCCCTTCTATAGCACTAGATGGCACAACGGAGTTTTCTAGGTGATAACCGACTTGAGAAAGGTCGCGTGCAATCTTTATGAAAGGGCATAACTTCAAAAAACAAATGTCATAACACCAACCACGCGCTGCATCCGCGTGAAGCATCGAGTAAAAGCAACTCCATGCTTGTTTTGTAAAAATTTGAAAATACGTTTCAATAAATTTGGCGGAAACAAGACATCTCTGTGAAGAGTATTTCGATCCCTCTTGGTATACATCGTGAGTATCTCCACTAATTGCAGGTGATATCGAAGAGAGATTGTGTTTCCTCATCGTTTGTAGCAAACGAGTGACATTAATGGGAGATGGGCCATTCTTCGGTAGGTAAACATCATCCAGTAGAATAGCGATGTGCTTGTACTTAGCAACCAACACCGGCGGCAAAAACTGCAAAAAAACTCCCCAGTGCATACCTGGAACTCGAATCAAACTGCATCCTTCTTGTCTCAATTGAAACAAGTATTCGTCGTCATCAGCTATTCTATCCTCCTCTACGTACAGAAATGCAATGCAATCCCAGTTCACAAAGTGTTCTTTGATGGCGAAGAGGTTGTACGGAAGTGTGGAGTTTCTGCCTAGAGCTGTGATGGCTATGAGATTATTAGAATAGGATTCCTTGCTTTGCCATTTGTCAAATTGTGAATATGATGAAGAAATTTTGAGAGTCTTCTGTCTGAAATCTTCGTTGCTGAAAATTGCAAAAGCTCCAAGAACGGCTACTATAACCAAAAATAGCTTGAGTATTGGGAATGAATGCGGCAAATACATTGATGAAAGTTTTGATCAAAATGAATGTGCGGGAGGAGTTGGCTTTGTGGTGGGGGGTCTTTAGTGAATTTTTAGCCAATGAGAGTTAGTCGATTCGCTAAAGATGAGTCTATTTTTAGTGGTATGAGCCAATCACAACTCTCTATCACTAATGATAGATTTGACTAACTCTCTTCCACACTAAATTTGTACTCTTTAAAGACTTCAAAAGCTCCATATGGCCATAGCAGTTTCTCTTTATCTTATCAAACAAATAAGCACCTTGTCTTAAGGACCAAGTCTTGATCTATTCTTCCATATGTAGGGACAGTAGACATTGTTATTGGCTTAGAGGCGCTTGAACATTATTTCAATACTGCAGGTGGTTCAGACACATAGACTATCACATCAAACAAAAATACAAAAACAACACACATATCCGGGTCCTCAAAACATCACTTTCGGTACTTTGCCTACATGAATTTTCTGTAGCAAAACAAAACTCGCTCCTCCTTTTTGCCTCAAAACTGACAATGGGAAAGTCAAAGAACAACAAGAATGTGGCAATCGCTGCTAAACCTGTTAATTCTACTGCTCTTACTCAGGGTTGCATCAGTTTTTTGCAAAAAAGCCGAGCCGAAAAAAGGAATCCGACGATTTGGACCCTCCAATCGTCAACAACAACAGCGACACCGAGATGGAGGAGGTCGAGTATCCACTGAAGTACGATCGCATTGCCAAGAACATCAATTCGTCTCAGTGGAACCTGCAAACTCTGGCCTATGTATGCACAATCCACCATGCTTCTGGTCAACACAACAATAAAAAAAAGTGGTCTTTGGAAATGAGCTGTTCTTGGCATGGGAGAACGAGCCCGATTTCCACTGGCCTTGGTGCGAAGGGTATTCTGAAAATTTTGTAGACCCTCCGGCGACTGAATCCTGGGAGGAAGCTGCCGACAAGCTACTACAGATTTGTGATGGGGACTGGAACTTGGTCGAGCAACGCATTCGAGCTGCGCTTGACCAAGACATCAAGGACGAATTTATTGGGAACGATCGTGAGCTAGTGGTATATAATTCTCGGTCTGGCGGTCCAGGATCCTTTGGTGATATTTCCTTTGGACGACAAGTTGGAGGACACTACATTTTTTAATCGGTTTTGGGATTTTACCTTGGAGGTTGAGCCCCGTTTACTATTGGAATTCCGCCCTCTGGCCAAAGTATGGGCCATTGCGGTTGAACTTCTAGGGCACCCCTGGACCGATCCCAAAACGACGACGGTGGTAACGGAATTTTCTGAGCGTCGCTCAGCCGCCAAGGGCAGAAAACGTGAGCGCAATCGGGACCCATCAACTGCAAGGAAACCGGCTCCTATTGACCCTCGCTCTCCTGCACGCGGGTTTTTTCCGGAGGCCACCCCAAAACCAGTTCGCGACTCTATTGCCCCTGATAAGGAGGATGCAGTGATGGTGGACACAACAGGTCCATCGGTAATCAGCCCCACCAATAAACCAGTCAACGGCAAGTTTGCTTATTGGTCTGACAATGATGGGTCAGAGTCTGTTGAGTCGGCTCCCGCCTTTTCGGCACCATCTCATTCAGATCACCCTCCTACGGAAGTGGTTGTCGGCAATTCACCTGCCCCAACCCAGCGGGCCAACGATCCCTCTGCAACGGTCCTCGTTGACTCCCACTTGTCAAAGACTGAGCCTCCCAACCCTCCTCGACCTTCAGCTCTGTCCATGAAGCAGCAACTCACTTATGTTGCCGCCTCACAGAAGAAGGCTGCTATTTGGACCAAGTACCTCTCTGAAGAAATGAAAGCCCGCGAAGTGACACAGATGAATTTGACTGGGCTTCCTCGCTCAAACGCTCAGTTCCTCTGCGCTACAATCAACTATGAATGGGATGGCGACACCTCTGAGGGTGGTTCTATTGAAAAGTGTTTCACTGAAGAAATGGTCTCGGTTCTGTCTATGGCTATGGACAGCGCTGAGAGCAACTTGGTCATCCTCCCAGTGAGCGAACTCCGTGTACGGGACAAGAAGTTGTGGTTGACCTATAAGGAGAAAGTGGAGGAGCTCACCTACAAGAAGCTCAAGCCCTACATTGACTGGTCCTGGAATCATGGCGCCCGATTTGGCTACAACGCTAAGAACCCCGGCCCCAAGACTGGTCGCACCCGCATTCGCGTTGCCCACAACTCTTCTCTGGACGACATGTCCCGACTCCTGGGTTGATGTTTCGAGATCACCGGCACCTATGCAGGCGTCTTCCGTTCCCCGCTGCAAGTTAGTGACCCTGTCCAAATCGGTTGGCTACTGAACTACCCCATGGGGATTGGGAGAGTGGCACTCAAACGCGAGCTCATTCGTCTCTTCACCTTCAAGAGAGCTATAGCCCTAGAACCTGCGTGGCCACAGAACCCCGGTACGGTGGGCCAAAAATGGATGCCCTCCAAGGGTCCAAAAGCGTGGCACATTTGGGTAGCTGCTTCTGACATGGATAGAGTGGCACGGGCCCTCTTTGCATGGCTCCGGCCAGAGACAAAGAAGTGTCATATGCCGTTTTGTGCCCGGACTCAGTTTGTCTACGACTGGGGGGGCGAATAAAAAGGGACACCTCGGTGACCTTGCGCAACCAGGGGGGCAGTGGAATGGCATCATTGGGAAACTCATCAACACCCATGACACTACATCCCAGACCTGCACCTCCCTGGCTCCACTGTTTCCTATCCAAGGCATGCTGACCAAGGTCTTCATTCCCAAGTACTGCAAACAGGGCAAGGGCAAATCCCTCCTCCACTTCCTCTACGCCATTCAGTGCATACCAGCGGTCAAGAAACCTCCCCCTGCTCAGCCTGAACAACCAGCCACACTGGATGCCAACACCCCAGACTCTCCATTGTCACCTTCCGTGTTTTCTACTCCTACAGCACTGCCACCGACCAACTCAAGTGTAACTGCCCCCACCACAGCTCAACCAGCTCAGCCAACTCTACCTGCCTCATCCAACAAGCGTTCCAGTCGCAAGGGGTCTAAGAATTGCCGGGCCATGCAACCTCTTAAGAAACCTACGGAGCCGCCTCAGGCTACTACCTCTACCCCTCTTCCACGGCCCACTCCGGCACTGAAGTCTCCACCCCAGGCAGCAACCAACCCTTCCACGGCGTCTTCCGCTCGGGCAAAACTTTCTGCATCTGAACAGCCCCTGGTCACTGAGGCATTTGATCGCAGCGCATGGCTGGCGGCAATGGATGCGGAACTGAACCAGGGCCCAGCCGGTCTCTTCCAAATGATTCTACCAGGCCCAATTGATGGCTTCTATGTGTTTGTGGTGCGCCAAAAGT